CTGCGTAATCGTGGGCAACGGCACAGGAATAACCTTTATCGCCGACTCACTACACGTTTCTGCCGGGTTTCACTCCAGTTGGAAGTCCTTGAGGTGTGTACACAATACAGGCCAGACTATGGGATAGCGACCCGGTGGATAGCAGCAGATGGACTTCACTCCGTTTGCCTTCTGACTGGTGTCAAGATGAGAAATTCCACGGTTGTTGGCCTCAGTCCTCCAAAGTGTCAGCGGTGCGGGGAACTAGAGAGCCTCTCACGCCACTCTGGCAGCAGGTGTTTCATTTCGCGGAATTTCCGCCTTCCACCCAATTTTGTAGGCGACTCTTGACCTGCGCGCGTAACGGAGAGACCCTACGCGGTGTACAACCATGGCTTCCACCCTTGGCGTCCTTGACGTCCTCAGCAAACTCCGTGAGGAATCAGAGAGAGCTTCCACCGCCTTGACGGCTCAGCAGGTGATACATTGACTATTTTCCGATGTGAGGAAAACACTTCGACTACATCATTGAGGTTCGAAAGAGTTGTTCAAGAGAGAGAGAGAGAAGATGGACCCTCAAGTCTGATTGACCCTGAGCCGATCATCGTCTTCCCTTTCCAATGAACAACGTATCGCATGCTTCCCAGGAAACCAACCGAACGCTTCTCAAGAAATGTATCGAGGCCGAGACGGAAAGCGGCCGCACAGACGAGGCCAAAGGAGCGCTCCAACATCGAAAGGTGAGAAATATCTCTAGCAAAAATCCACCAATCGATTCACGCCCGCCCTAGAGGAGGTTTGAGCGGTATTCCACGACTCAATCCGGCTGAATTTCACACACGCACGCAAAGAATACAGAAAGGCCCCCTAGGTGAGGATATCTTGGCACAGTTTCATTTCACAACAGTACCGTAGTGAAAGTCTGCTGCTGCGAGCCACAACCAAGACATCTTGGGCCCAATCACTCAAAGAATTTTCCAAAACGAAACGGTACGTTTCCGGAGAGTTCTCGACCAGGCGGCTTCAACGCCGGTACTTTCGGCGCTGCTACTCTTTGTGTTATCGACAAAATCGAACTTTGAACATTTATTTGTCCATGGGGTGTGTTATCTTGTGTTGTACACGGAAATCGGTTGGATAGTTTGGGCCACGTATCAATGCCATCTATCTCCGATGGGCTTGTTATATCCAGAAGCCATTGTCGGCCACGCAAGCTACCCGGACGTACAAGTTCGATATATTGTTTGCGTCAGAAGGCGGGCGACTCATTGCATCACTGGACACGAACATCCACGATGCGCAGCAATATTCATTCTGCTCATTGAAGCGGTCGACCAAGGCCTCGATCACTTTCTCTTTCTTGCTGTTTTAGGTGCAGCTTGAGCAGGAGCATAGGAACGCAGAGGCCGGGCGTCGAGAGGCCGAAAGCAGGCTGAGAAGGCTACAAAAGCAGCAGGCTCGGTGAGAACCATCCGANCTTTCTCTTTCTTGCTGTTTTAGGTGCAGCTTGAGCAGGAGCATAGGAACGCAGAGGCCGGGCGTCGAGAGGCCGAAAGCAGGCTGAGAAGGCTACAAAAGCAGCAGGCTCGGTGAGAACCATCCGATGATGCTCGGAGTAAAAATCGCCAAATAATATCGTGCGGTACCGTGTGGTGCATAGCTGTTGTTGCGTGGGGGGATTTGAGAACTAGAGACATCAGGTGTTCAATACATGTGCTCAGTGTCGTCAACGAATGCCAAAACGCAATCTAAGAAAGTCGTTGAACAATTACATGTCGGCGAACATTGACGCACGTTGGACGAGGTGGCAAACGCACCCAGTGATGCGGAATACACATAACACCAATCTCATGCGCATTTTATTGTTGTCCGATGACATCGTCTGCCCCAAAATCGCTTCGTTGCCACTACAAAACAGGCGCCAACAGGCCGCTGCGCGCATGCGGGAAAATACTACAGCTGCAGGCGCGCGCGCCGTGGCGATGTCGAAGGTGTTTGTCCATGGCAGTGGCGGTCCGTTGGCTCAGATCAAGCACTTGATGATTGACCACGACCGTGTGTGAACTCCTACCAGTGTGTCGTTCATCCTGACCAATCACTGAACTTTCTCGCCAGTGACAGTCGCGCGCTCGAGACTTGACATACGGCTTCAAGAAAAAACATCGACCGTACGACAGCCGTTGTTGGTGGCTAGACAGTGACTTGCGACATCGAGGATAAAGAACTACCCAGGTCACGAAGCGGAAAATGCCATGAAAGCACACTTACTTCAATTTTCACTCTTTACCTTGATACTTCAATCACGAGTGCCCATCCATATCGTCGTTCCGAGTTGGTACCAATTTCACTTCACGATGAAAGTGCCCATTGCATGCGCTTCCTCCCTATAATAGGTGTGAAATATTGATTCACTGTTCTTGATGGGAATCGAGTGAGGTGTTGAGGTCTCCTCTTGATATCTCAGTACAGACAGCTTGACTTCTTCCTATCCCAGATATTCCGGGCGAATGCCTTCGACAGCGTGCGTCAGATCGGTGAGCTCCGAGCACGCCTTCGTGACAAACGGGGCGAGCTTGAAAGGTACGGTTGTTTAGGGCTGGTGGCGGATAGTGCAAGGTCGTGCTGTAGAAGCCTTTCCAGAACGACTTACCGGTGGTGCCTGAGAGCCTCGATGCTGTCATTTCAGACGAACGTCGGATGATATATGGTGGGAAGGTGATTGTCCTGTGCGGGCCGCTGGTCTATTTCTCCCGTGTGCACGTCATCAACATACAAGTTATCGTTCACAAGTGCATCCCCCCGTCCCCCCGTCACGTCTAGCGCCGAGGAAGAGAAGAGGGAGCTGGACGTGGAGATCGGCAACAAGAAGGCCACACGAGACAAGGTGCGAAACAGTCGAGAATAACGGCCTCTGGCTTGCCCGGTGCCCCGAAATGGTTGTTTAGATGAACATACGCCCCTATCCACAGCCCCTTGGGGGTTAAGACTGGGTGCTCATCATCTCCACACTCGGGTATTTTGGTGTCATTGTGATGAAGGTGAAGGCCGAAGTGGCATCGCGGCTGGAGGCCGTCACGACCTCTTGCTCGAAGGTTGACGACATTGATCGTGAGAACAAGTCCTTGCTGGCGAGAGCGAAGAGAGTGGAGGGAGAGGTGACGATATCACAATTTCTCGCATTCGGGAAGCAGGGATGAACAAGGAAAAACATTTGTGTTATTCCTGGGTGACACATGCGCGTCATTTCATGAACGCACTAACCGAACTGCCAACAAGTTGGTTGATCGTTCCCCGTGCCATGCTTTCGAGAAAGACCACGCTTTCAGAGTAGATATCACAATTCCTTGAAAGCATGAGAGCGGACAATTCATTCCCGTACCGGCGCAAATTGTGTTTAGCCTCCGCCCTTGCCTTGTCTTGGTCTTGCCATGTAGGTGTGCAGTAGAGCACAGCCTACCAAACTTCGCTCAAGTCGACCGAACACCACCGCTCATTGCTGCGTAATAGCCCCTTGCTCAGTCATTTCTTTGCGAGCGACATGGAAATGGTTCACACCTCGCGCCCGCGGGAATTGGTTCGTCGTTTCGTTTGTTGGGAGTGGTATATAGCTTCACACACGAACGAGAATATGGAGAAACGACCGGTCAACGAGACCAATGACCCGGTTTCAACAACAGATCGACGAGATAAGGGAAGCTCAGGAGGAGATGCAGGAAATGGCGGTTGGCCTCCAAAGAAAAAACGCAATCCTCAGGCATGAGCTCCGCTATCTTAAGCGCGAACTCGAAGGAGATAACCCTGGACAGCCACACATGTTATCTTCCCGCGACCAAGGTTGCAACAGCAACAACATCAGTGCTCACGGTATTGGAAACGGAAGGTACAGAGCGAATGGCTGGGTGTCGGTTTGTCGTGTTATTAGTGTTGGTAGCGGAAGCTGCAGACAGGTGGATGTGGCTTGTGTTTGGCTTTGTGTTTGGTGTTGGTGTTGGCGATGACTTCGGGATGCACTTGAAGTATGACCTTATTGGGGGGGAAAAATCGAGGGAACTCAATGCTATGAAACGGTGCCATCCGACATCGATGACTGATGCCACAGCTTTTGTGGCACCTTTAAAAAAAATACTTGCTCGAACAACATGCATAGCGTGTGCTGTGATGTGCTGTAATATGGATACTTGTGTTCGTGCACCCCCGGCGTCTCAGTCAAAGATCGTCGTCCACATCACGTGCGGGAGGAAATTTTCACCAAGGAAACGGAGGAGGAGGAAAACAGGGAAGCCAGTTCTACCACCATAGCGCCGCCCCCCAGCATGGCGAAGGAAGGCAAGATTCCATCCACACGCCTTGAGTACGACAATTTGGCCCACCAGAGACAACGTCTGAATATGAGTCCACGGCGGTTGGGACTGGCCGTGACAGTTGAGGATTTTTCTTTTTCGTGCACACCATGCAGGCGAAAGCTAATATTAGTTATTCACAACGGGTGAGCAACTGCAAGCGGTGATTTTCCATCCGGCAGGTTGCATCTTTGTCTGCGAGAGAGAACCCGCATTCCAGTCAAACACGGCACTGAAGGCGGGCGCGGGCAGGTCCAGGAGCACGACTCAAACGTTATGTAATTTGTCGGATTGAAGCTTGTGCCTACCGGCTAGTTGGCTCTCAGCGGAATTGGCATGCTGCTGGCAAACGCGTTTCCCCAAGTGCAAATCACAGCAGTCTGTGCCCGACTTGACGCACAAAGCGCGACGAAAATCAGCATGAGTTTTGCAGTGCGAATGTGACTGCCGTGAGTATAGTCTAGCCCGTACGCGGATTCGGTCCAACACCCCTACTACTGCTGTGTTTAGTCCCAGCCGCGCTGAGCAAGCAGCATCGGTGCGTTTAAGGGGCCACAAGAACGAATCATGATGCACGTGCAGCACACCAACCAACGCGACCCTTGAATCGCTCATTTACTGCTGTAGTCCATTGTGTTCGTTTTTTCGTTGTTCGCACTTGGCTGTCCAGACCTGTTTGCGAACTTTCCGGGAAACTCGGTTGAAATTGAGTCAGACACTAACAACGCTGTCGCACGGGGGTTTTTCCGGGCGGGGGAATCAAGACCAACGAATCGATCGCCGGGAATTGGTCGTTTTGGCATCTATTTTGGAAACAATATTCTTCATGGTTCTTGCTCTATTTTTTCATTCAATCAAACAATCGTGAGCAACTTCTTTGATCGTAGATACCACCATGCCCATGAGTTTTTCGCCCAGAAAAACCAAGGAAACCGCAAAAAAGAGCGGTTTAGGCGCACGTTGCACAACAGTTGTACTCGATCGAAATCGACAAGCCCGCAGTGACCAAAACGGGACAAGGGTGAATTGAGACCCAGTAGCTCCCCATCACCAACCACACACACCTTAACGGGCCCTGCAGGATTCTCGACACTACTGCAAGGCAAAGCCCGCCCCGTCCCCATCCCAAAAAGAAACTGAATTCCCTCAGTGAGTTCGCAAACACCTTGTACCACACACAGCAGGAGGTTGTGCAGTTTTTGTGAATGCTAAGGTAAGAAAGGGAGGCGCGAACGCGTTCGTTCTTCTCTGGTGCTCTACTGTTGCTGTGTGTGCTCTCTCTGTGGATGGAAGAACTGCTGTCGGTACATCTCGATAGCTCGCCTGCTGCTGTGGTGGATCTTACGGCCACCATACCTGGCCACCATACCTGGCGGTTCGAGAGAGCACTGAATTGTGTCGGTAGAACGGGACTGAACGAGTCGAGAGGCCGTACGAGAACACCCCCACGCCCCCCCCCTCCCCGAACCTTGCCCCACCCACCGCGTCAAATACCACCAAGTTACGTAGTCGCCGCCATTCGTATCACAGAAGACTTGAGGGAAATCGTTCTCTGACCGTTCTCGATCTCTCTGTTGCTCGCCCCCCCTTGGCCGTTGCCTTCGGACGTAATAATCGCAGCCACGGGGCCCTTTTTCTTTCCGTCATCAAACACTCGCTACAACCCTCCACCATAAGTCTCGCCAGAACCATTTCTTTTTTTTCGTGTTCTTTGGTCAGCGCTCACAGCCCTTCTGCCTGGTAGGAACTCAATCCATTCTCTCTCTAAGGTCCCCCACCGACCCCTCCTGCGGTGATTGCCTTTTATACCCATATTACCGATTTTTCCTCTAAGTCCTCGTGTTGCGCCGCAAAAGTCAGTCGTCCCTTCACCCCATGCTCATTTCTCCCAGAACTGTCTCGGAGACGTGTCGAGCTTGCCGGTCAAGGGCACGGCTCCGTCGGCCGTCATGAGGAACGTGTGCTCGAACTGCGCTGTTCTCCTCCCGTCCGCCGTCGCCGCCGTCCACTTGTCTGGCCACATCACGCTCTTGGCTGCGTGCGGGCCAAAACAGCACACACATCGAGAATTGGAGTAAGGGGTCAGAGCTTGATCGCGGGTCCTGTTGGTATGTGATAGGAAGGGCACAAAGAAAATACTCTTGAGGGCCGTTCGTTCTATGCAGCAGCTATTTCGCTTCCCAACGTCCAAATTTCCGAATCCGCTGAGACCCCTGACCCTCGATTTGCGGCCTAGGAAAAAAACTGGAACTTTGGAAAAGTTAAAGTTGGAACCTACTGGGCACCCAATAATGTGGAACGAGTCCGTTTCACATTTTTGGAAAACAAATGGAAATTTGGAAAGTCGGCACTTGGAAATTTGGGAATTTGGAAGCAAAATTGCTGTGCATGAGATCGGTCCTGAGGAAGCACACGTTCCTTCTCGTGGGCTACAAATCGCCGGAATAAGGTTTCAGTGTACCCCCTCTTAACCGGGCTCACAAACGGTGTTCAGTTTCTTAGCTGACAAGCATTTTTTTTTAAGTGCGGGCGCTACCTTTATTCACATGAAGCACTCACTGCCCGGCGCGGCCTACAGTACGCATCGTCTTACCGGTTCCCTCGCAGATCATCGGCTCGATCGTGAACGTGTGCCCCTCCTTCATGATGCCGTTGGACTCGTTGTTCTTGTAGTGGAGGATGTTCGGGTTGGTGTGGAACAGCTTCCCGATGCCGTGCCCACCTTTAACGAAAAACGTGAGCCAGCGGTGGGCCGGGGCACTCGGTTACAAGCATCGTAGGGTGCAACAAACGAAAAGTACCACTATGATAGGCGAGCGCGCGGGTTACTTATTCATGGATGAACCGGGTCGTGGGCTACGTTAAATCACTGTAGCAATTGGCATACCGGGAAAACGGGCAGGCGTCGCGCTGGCGAGAGTCGGCGATGGCAGAAGAGTAGAGAGGGGCCCCGTGTGGACGACGGGTATATGTGGATGGGGGGGTCCGCATCGCCGGCGCCCCCCACACCCTCACAAAGCAGCACAATAAATCCGCTGCGCTGCTCACGCGGATGCGCGCCGCTCGCACACGCACTTCCAGGCGGTTTCGCGCTCCAAAACAGACCCAGACGGCAATCAACAGCATTTCCCGTCAAAAAAACTTTTGGGTGAACGGGTATCGAAATCGCGCCACTCACAAAAGTTTGGGACGGTAGTGTAGCCCTTTGCGGTACACAAATCCTCGATCACTCCCCCGATGCCCTTGTAATGTCGCCCCGGCTTGCAGTACGCGATGGCCTGCTGCCAGATGTCGTACGTGTCCTGCAGCCAGGCGGGCCGAGGGGGGCCGCGACGAATCAGTGCTTCGCAAGGGGGGACACCGTAATAACAATTTGGCAAATACTGTAGGTGCGGTGGGACGGCCTCACGAGATTATGATCAAATGAAATCTATGAAATCGAGAGGAGGGTTTCGTATTCCATACCCTAACCCCAACCCCGTAGCCCCTACGAAAACCGAGCTTGATATCCTCCCAGGGCTACTGGGTTGGGGGGGTGCGGGCATCATCCACACGCTCGTTCCAAGCACAGGCATATACAACTAATACCCTCTTGAGACACGCGCAAGCAACTTCGAACGGAGCATTCGCCAAGACTTTCTTTCACCCTCGCCCCCCCCCCCCCCCCCCCNCCCCGTGGTTCTGGCGACAAAACGCCAACGCCACCAACCGCTCACTACGAACTCCTCCATACCGGACAGGATTATCAAGAGAGCGGGGTGGTGATGATGACGCAAGAAACTACCCACCCACCTTAACCAGGTCCTTGCCGGCCTGGTCCACCTCCCCGACCAAGAACATCTCCGAGCAGTCCCCGTGGTACCCCTTGTAGAACACCGTCACGTCTACGTTCACGATCATGCCGTCCTCCAGCACGGTGCTGTCTGGGATGCCGTGGCAGATTATTTCGTTGATGCTGGTGCAGCAGCTGAGTGCGGTGGTTTCGGGGGTGAAACGGCAGCCGGGGGGGGGGGGGGTA